TTATATGATATATTTTTATAATAAACATCAAAACTATACAGCGAACGAGAAAACGAGTTATCAACGCAGTCGCACCCTATATTCCTCTTTCTTCATTTCCTTCATAATATTGCGCAAAATTTCATTTGCGACTATATTACTTATATTTACAATGTCAATACAAAGTCTGTAGTATTCTTTCTGAAAAGGCTGTAAACACCACATTTTTGTCTTGAGATGAAGATCAAAATATCGACGGCGCAAGACATTCGTAAAACAGAACATTCGCTTTCGTCTACCCTGATCTTAAGAAGCGTGATCGCGTTTATCCCGATCGATTGCATTACAAATAATTTTAATTCTCATTTTAATTTTGTTTTACAACATTTCAACTTTAGCATTATCATGACCTTTGTATACCCAGCAAACAAAAATGAATTAAAATGGATAGAATGGATTCGAATGGTTATTGCCGAATCCAAATTCTTGATTTTTTGAATCCATTTCAATCCAATTAAAGTTTAAGGATTCTTTGAATTTATTTTAATCCATGAAGTGGAATTGAAACTACGAGATTTCTACGCTGTCAATCCAAAAAAGATTATGCGGATCAATTCATTTTGATACATGAAACGCGATTGAAACTATGGATTCCTATTCTTTCATAAAAAAAAAATTACGCGTTCCATGCAATCCATTTTAATCCAGGAAACAGGATTGAAACGAAGTACTTCCTATTCTTTCAATTCAAAATGTATTAAAATGAATTAAAATGGATTAGAAATTTTCAATTCATTTTAATCTATTCTATTTCCGGATGCTAGGTACTTGAATAATATCTTGAATCTTAAGATATTTTTTATACGCAAAGTTTGCAGTTTTATATAACAGCCTTTTAATACATCAATTGTTATTAATTATTCCTCGTTTCACTCGCTCAGCTATTTTCAAAATATGATGCGTTAGTACAAACTCCCCGGGCGCGCACGACACTTTTGATTAGAGGGTGTTTACGATAGAAGTTGCGAAATCTTGTAAGATAGGTTGGTAGGTTACGTTTCTTTTTTTTTTAAGGAAGGCAACAACAAAGCACAAAAGTAAAAATATGAATGAATATTTACGGCGAGTTTATTGCGCGGAGACGACTGTAAAGATTTGAGACGATGTAAAGACATAGTCACAATGAACGCGTTAGATAAAAATTAGGATATATATTATCAGCAATAATTTTTATGTATCAGAAAAATTCTTAACTTCGATGAGCTCTACACAATACCAATTCCACTCAACATCTGTTTTACATCTATTTCATTGTATCACGCATCATTATAAGCTAATTAATCTTTTGCGTTTAGAGAAATCTCGACAAATATATAGTAATCTAGAATTATTTCAGAATATTACCATAATCGTATATGGATATTATAAGATAAAGAGGTACGTAATAATTAAAATTTTCAATTGCAGGAATTAATATCATCTTTTCCAAGATTTAACGAAATTATATTATTCGCTAATGTTATTAACTTGTTAATGTTAATTAATGTCATGCTTCTGTCTCGAATATACATTCGTCTCCGGAGTTCTTGGAGATGGTATAATATAAGTATATAATCGTATTATGTTAGCAATCGAATCTATATCTTTAATTCAGTTCTTACTTTTGACGATGAGTTTGGCGGATGTTTCTACGGTACCGGCAGATGTCGTAGCGCGGCAAGTGAAGGTGCCAGTATCCTCCTCGTAGGTAGTTGCTATCAGTAACACCGCATTGTTGCCTTCATGAATCATCTGAAAATAATGTATCATGTTTTTTTTGAGTATCACGTTTTGAACATGAAATCTTTTTTGATATTTTACTAGAAAAAAATATAACGTGATATCTACCTGAAAATCTGGTGACTGTGGGATTAAGGCACCTTCTCGATACCATTGAATCGTCGGTTTAGGCTTTGTCGGACTCACTTGAGTCTTAAATTGAGCCGGCTGTCCTTCTACCACTATTTGATCCTTTAAAGGTGTTAATTTTGGCAGAACATCAGCTGTGTCAGGTGCTAATTGAAAATAGAAAAGAACAGTACGTTAATTTCATGTGGTACATTAAGAAGAAATATAATGAGAGATTAAATTTTAATTTTCTTGTTTTTCCTTTCTCTTACCGAGTACTCTGAGGTTGGCAGATGTCATAATTTCACCAGCCGGATTTTTTGCAATGCATTTATAAACACCTTCATCTTCAGGGAACGCCTCAGAAATTCTCAGAGTATAAAAATCGTCTTCTTTCTGCATTTGGAAGTACTTTGATGGTTTGATTACCTATACAAATGCGATAAGCGTTTAAAAATAAAATTATCGGAAAGTTTCTTAGCAGATTTATAACATTTTTATCCGATTTATTCAATGTATATAAATGAAGAATATGTTCCAAACAACAGAAAGAAATACGGGCAATATCTGCCAGACAGAATTTTTAGGCGCCTAATAATCTCTTTCTTTTATTTTTTAAATTTATATATTTTATATATAAATTAGACATATACACACACACACACACACACACACACACACACACACACACACACACACATACACACACACATATATATATATATATAT